TCGGTTTTAAAGTATTCAACATTTCCAATTTCTATAACCGTAAAAAAACATAATTCTCATGTTCTTCTCACTTGTTTATTGATGAATTAGAAATTAATCTGATTATATGTTTAAAAAATTTGAAAGAAACTCTTATAATTTATCGTTCTCTTTTAATTTGCAACATTGTGTTCGAGAAATAAACACAAATCAAAATTAATTTTTTATTTAAATAAATTAATTTGATTCATTAGAATTAACTTTAAAAGTTTTATATCATTATGTTATTATACTTTTGCAGTATAATTTGCTATTATTTTTTATTTTACTTAAGAAAAAATAGATCAATCCAAGATATAGATTTATTAATTTACTGACAAAATATTATTATTTTTATGAAAATATCATTATTGTTGCTTTTTTTACCAGAATATTAACAAGAGAATTGCTCAAATTAGTTACAGTTTGTATATAAAATTTATACGTGAGTATTTTAGTATGTGAATTTTTCTGTTATATAAGTTTGTATCTTACTATATAAATATAAATATATAAATAAATTATAAACAAATTGTGAATTTACGTATTTATATCTTTGTAGGTGCTCGTATAAGATGTATGTATGTATGTATGTACACAGAATGTCGAATTGAATTCGCTGGTTACTATTAATGACTAGCGAAACTATTAATGACCCTTAGGGAGCGGTGTCAAGAAAGAATCGACGTGATACCTGGTAATCGCATATAAAACACTCCCATTATCATCGATGGCCGATTACATGACACGATGATCATTTATTCTTGTGATAAATAGAAACTATGGATCAAAAGCTAGATTATAGATAACATAGAAAGAGGCATGTTAGTATCATGTTGAATAACGTCACCTAGAAATATAAATATATAAAATATAATAAATATAAGAAATGTATATATATATATATCAGAGAGATCAATATTAGTCGAAAAATCTACACAAATCTACGATGCCTATACACATACTTACGCTAAAATAAGAGCAGACACGTTATATGTGATATTAGATTATCTATATCAAAGTAAAACATTAATGCCAAAATGAAACGTTACTTATAATGTCAATCAGCACGCCGAAATTAAATAAAATGTGAATAGATTGTGATTCAATTTATGGCTTACAGGCTACATTTGATCGACTCATGCGAATTCGATTTTGCTGCTTAGAAATTATTTTCTTAGTATTTCAATGGATATTCCAACTGATAAATATTCTGATTAATATAAAAAAGGCATAATCAGAAAAATATATTAGATTAATAGAAATAAATTTTTTATTTGTTTTGTTCAAAGTACATTTGTATTGAGGAGTATATTGTTAAAAATATATTGGAATTATTGATGATCTATTGCAACTTCAAACAGGCTATTCTTTTTATTGTTTCACTCTTTTAATAGACTTTTAATAGATTTTTAATAATTATTATTATATTATAATATTATAATATTATATAATAATATTATTATACATATAATAATGATAATATATTATATTATTATTATTTAGTATTATTTAATAATTAATTATATATATAAAAAAACATACATTAATAAAAATTGGTGTAAATTTACAGAGAAAATTTATTTATTCTTTTGGTAAATTTATTTTTTTAATTTTTATAGTTTTTTTTACTTAAAATTTGTATTTTTTTCTCTTATTTTAATAAAAAATACTAGAATATCATGAAAAATTAACTAAATCTAGTATTTTTAAAAATCATTTGTAGATTAGCTCCCGCGGTATTGTTAAATTCTTCCATAATATATTACATATCAATAACCTTTAATGTATCTATCGTTCTTCTATTTTCTTTTTAAAATTTTTCAGTTTTATAATTTGTTTATCATTCTTACATCTAAATAAACTTCTTACACACATTTTATAACTTATTATGACATTTTATTGCCTTATTTATAAACATTATTTGTAATTTTTTATAAGGCGTATATTTTATTTATGAATATAATTTATCCCACCCCTATGGGATATATGGCAAAAATGTAAGGGTCTCTAAAAGTTTTTTTTATTAAATAGAAAGAATGAATATTTCATATTTCTATTTTTTTATAGTAGTAGACAGTATAAAGTTTTTATTGGTATAATTCATTTGCCTTAAACATAAATAGTACTCGATAAATTAAGTTTCCCTTAGCTGCGGCGTATATACCAGAGTTACCCTAATATGTTATGGATGACTTTAACAATACCGGGAACTAATTTACAAATGATCTGTAAAAATACCAGATTAAGTTAATTATTCATAAAATTCCTGTATTTTTAAATAAAACAAGAGAAAAAAAATGCAAATTTTAAGTGAAAAACTATAAAAATTCAGTAAATTTACCCCAAAAAATTAGTAAATTTTCTCTGTAAATTTGTAGCGATTTTTATCAGTGCGTGTATACATAAATTGTAAATGTTTTATTTGACTCCTTTCTGATAAACTTATATAATATTAAGTAATTTTATGTAAATTTAAAGAGAGATTAAATATTATTTTACTAATATAAATACTTTAACAAATATCATTATTTTAAAAAATCATAGAATGGATGTGCAATATTAAGTAATCCAAAATTTTTGCTAGACTGCTATTTATTCGTAATAAAATATATAAATATATCAATATTTCAGAAAACCAGCGAAATCGATTGCGATCTGCCGCTTAAGCACCTGGCGAAACGATTTAAAATAAAATTAAATTAAAAATTGAATGTTCTAAATCTAATCTATCCACCTATCTTTAGGTATACAAACTACGTTGAATCGGTGCTGTAATACTGATTTAATAATATCTTTGCTCATATAAAAGCTTTGGCAAAAGTTACAAGCATGGATACATCGATAAGTAGATTGATGCAAACAAAAGTCGGTTAAAAAATATTGACGATAAATAAGAATTCAGATATATTTTGACGATCAAAGAATTTAACATTTTAGTTCATGTGCAAAGTGATGTGCAAAGTGCTCCAATTCTTCCATACAAAGTTACATATGTATGTATGTATTACGCGAAGTTACTCGATGCTTTCTTTGGCTTTATCGATCCCTGTCAGTACGAATATGCGCATTAAAAGCCAGTATAAATGCGTAATAAATAAATGTGAGACACAATTAGCTGAAAAAAATTATGATTGATACAAGTTTCTTTGTGAGACGGATGTAAAAAAATGTTGTATCATATAAGAGAAGAAACGTCGCGAATCATCTAGTATGCCATGATAATAAAATCATGCCATCAAGCTTAAAGACAGAATTTAATAATTAAAAACCGGTTGCATCAACATTACTTGGTTTAACTCTTCTTTTATGCATTAGAATATCGTGTTAATAAATCACCGGATATTTAATTAATATTGGAAATAATTATAAGAAATAATTTCCATTAATACAACTTTGTACTTATGTTACAAATTTATACAAATAATAACCAAAAATATATACATACATTTGCTGTGACGATATTGTCATAAGTAATTTTTCAATAATTAAAATGCAAGTTAGTATTACCAACAAAATATACAAAATATTACCACAAATGATTACAGATGAATTAATATCGATAAAGAATCGGAAATTGATATATTTTCGAATAATAAAACAAGGGCACAAGGGATAATTTATGGTGAATTATTCAGTTGGCTAATCATCAAGTAAGTTAATTGAGATCGTTGATGCAATCAGTCCCAATGACAAAAGACAACTACATTGTGTACAAGTACCAAACATATACATAATTTTTGTAATTTTGTACATAAGTTTTGTAATTTTTCAACGTTTCTCAAATAGAGATAAAATACATTAAATAGAATTCAGTTACAAGAATGAGCCGGAAGGCAATACGAAAACACAATAGTAAATCTCTCGTGTAAAAGTAGTGATTTTTTTATTAAAGATTATTATAAATATAATAAATAGTCAGCAATCTGAAATTCTAGTAATATTCTCAATTTTAACCATTAACAAGCCACTCGCATTCATCGCAAAACTATTTAAGTAGTGACCTCTAATAATTTAAATATCAACAATAATTGATATCAAATGCCGTGCGTCTTTGCTTTGACAATTCGACTTAAGCCTTTTCAACAATCTCATGATAAATCGCGATTTGATAGAACTTCTCATTAAAATTGATAGTAGTTGTCTAATATACTTTAATATCTAGTGATTTTAATCCATTTTGTCTTGTTTCTGTGTTGTTTCTAATTTCATGACCATCATTAAATATTAATTAATAATTGAATCATAAAATTTTAAATATCTGCTAAAATAGAACTTGTTAAAGTTATTTGAAAAACATTATTGACATACGTTAGTTATTTATATAATTAAACAATAATAATTTATAGAACATTATACAGAGTGATTCAAAACAAATATTTATCTTTGAAATGTCATATTCCTTAATTCTGAAATAACTTTATTACTTTTCCTAGAATTTTGTTCAAAGTTTAGTTTTTGAATTATAAAAAGATATAGTTCGCTTATCACGCGTCGAGTACGACGCTCAATTAATAGCAACAAGCACCCGCATTTGACGCTGAGTCACGCCGTCCTTACCTATCTCTTATACTTGACCTATGATAAGCGAACTATTTATTTTTATAATTCAAAAATTAAGCTTTGGACAAAATTTTGGAAGAAAAAAAATTGTCTCAGAATTAAGTTAGAGATATGGCATTTCAGAGCAAACGTTTGTTCTTAATCACCCGGTATAGAATTCTTTATACTCTGCTGCCTCATATCCTTCATCATTTCTTTTCTTGTATAATTCTTCATTCACATTTGTATAATCACATCACCAGCCCTTATTGAGAATGAGAAAACAAATAATTAACCTTAGAGAAATGTGAAATAATGTTAAAATCAAGAGCAATATAAGAATAAATAAAAAATAAAGAAACACAAAAAGAAAAGAATTTAAGTGCTCGATCGATTATATTTCAAGAATTATAGAAAGAAAAATGACTGACATGTCAAAATATATCCATATTACTAGCTGCTTTTCGTTTTTACTGAGACATCTTATCTAGATATGTATAATACACAACAAAGCAGGTGATGCGCGACGTTTCTCGCGTGCATTGTCTTCTATCGCCGCATGCGCGCGCACATGCGAATCGGTTTTCAAGCCACGGTACGACTCACCCTTGCCGCAATGGAGGTGGTTGGTTTCTCCAGAAGATCCCACAACCATTTTTGATACTGAGCGCACTTTCCTTCACCGAATTCCTCTTCCTCGCGCTGCCGAAGTGACTCTGCCTCCTTTCGCATTTCCTCGTGTACATGTTCCTTGCGCTGGTGATACTTGTGCTGGCAGCAATTTTCAAGATAGAGCTCGTCGACACCCCAATATGCGAGATCATCGCTAAACGCGAGAACGCACATTTCATCCACTAAATGGAGCTTGCCAGTGCGATAGAAATTAAGAATCGAGCTAAACGATTTAGGATGTCGATCAAAAAAATACTCGTTATCGATTAGGGAGTAATCATCGCAGAGTTCGGTTATTGCCTCGTGAGTATTGCAATCCCTCAGTCGACCTAGGCGCGTATGTGGCAACCGCTCAAGGGTACGCCAGAGTACCTCGTGCTTCACGCCACCGACGTTAATCGAAACTCGCCGATTTAATGCCTTCGAACGCATAATCATAAACGGCTCCGGCGGTAGAGATGTCATCGACTTGGAAAAGGCACGCTGCTGCTGCATCTGCAGCGGCAAGGGTGGTGGCGGCGGTGGCGGCGGCGGCGGCGGCGGTGGCGGCGGCGGTGGCGGCGGCGGTGGCGGTAGAGACTGCAGGTTTACCGGCGCCACGGTACCGATCGGACCTACAGATGCTGCGAATGGAGCGTAACAAACTTCCTTATTCATATTTCCACCACTCCCTCCTCCTCCTCCTCCTGTTCCACCACCCATCCCTGCAGTTCCTGTAGCTGCTCCAGTACTGATTCCACCAAGTCCTATCCCGCCGCCTAGCCCGCTTCCCGACCCTCCTATCGATGCGCCGAACCCGAGATCTCCTCCACCACCGATGCAGTCGATGTTTCCATGACCGGCTGCACCGAACTGCTGCAACGTCGACATACCGCCACCTTCGAACACGTAGCCCTGGTCGGTGCCGATGTAGGGCACCGTGCACGATAACGATGAGAGCGTCGGGCCGATAATCACGGCGCTATCGTTACGTTCTCCGTCCGCCAGTGTGCTGTCTGTCTCGAGCCGTATTTCGTTCAGCATCGGACATGCCAAGCGACGGCGGACTCAAGTCGTCGGTCACCAACGCGATTGCAAAACGGTTTTTCTTCGTATTGGTATTGACGTCAACGTTCTTGTTCGCTTATCTGATATCGGATAAACGGCGTCTATTTCTTCTTCTTCGTCGTCCTCCTCCTCCTCGACCACAGTGTTTCTTTTCAGCTTCATCCGTAAATCCGTCCGATTTCTTTCATCGACCCGGTCGGATTCAGTTGTATCATTATCTGAAAACAAAAACATTTACAATCGTCAGTCGTGCTGATTCGCTAACTACATATCTTTTGACAAAATTAAAGAGTGCAAATCATCACGAAACAATCTGTTTATATCGATTCGTATGTACAACCATATTATGTAAGTGATGAATAATAAATCGCGAAAAGTGTGAAAAGTTCACATTGATGATTTCTCACTTAAATTATGAGTCACGAGTCACAAGTCACTCATAAAGGCCAGCTTAATGCTATGTTGGGTGCTTTTCATTTAGCGATTCAA